GCTTGGTTTATTCTTATAAATAATTTAGTTTACTATTAAAGATCATTTGTTTTGTTCTTAAAGATCATTTAGTTCGGTCATAAAAATCGTTTAGTTTGTTCTTTAAGATCGTTTAGTTTGTTACTAAAGATTGCTTAGATTGTTCTTAAGGATCGCTATGTTTGTTGTTAAATATCGTTTAGTTTATTCTCAAAGATCGCTTAATTCGTTCTTAAATGTCGTTTAGTTTGTTGTTAAATATCGCTTTCGCTGAATATTAAATGACCGAAAACCTGAGTCACTTTCGGCCGATGGCCGAAAGTCTAAGTCAATTTCGGCCGAAACCGAAGAAAAACCGAAAGTTAACTTTCCTCTTTCGGCCGAAACCGAAATTAAACCGAAAGTCAACTTTTCAGTTTCGGCCGAAACCGAAACTTGGCCGAAAGTGATAAAATGGCCACTTTCGGCGCCGAAACCGAAGCCGAAGCCGAAATTCGGTCGGTCTCTACTTGCATGGGAGAAAAACACAATCCTATGAAAATCTGGATCCCCGTACACCATAGCCATGAAATTTCGTAATTTTATCTTCCTGGATGTCAAGTCTGGCTCCGCCACGCATTTCCAGCCTGTATCGGTAGCAAAATTCCCCTATCACGTTAAACCATCGAAAAACGCATCTCTGAGTTCAGTTTATTTTCGCGTGGTATACATTGTAGGGGCCAACGCATCACCTTCTAGAGATCTCTGGCGTGATTCTATTGAACGAAAAACTTACTGTTGGCCTGGCTTCCACTTCCGTTGACCCAGCACACTTCCAGAGAGAGAGAGAGAGGTGCAATTTCGTAACAATGGACGCATAATTCTTGGTGCCGTCAAATTAAATACCTCTAAGAATTATTCTGCTACTTTTTTTTTTCAAACACGGCCCGTTTTCATGATGACTTAATCTCTTAAGAGTAATAAGCAACATCATTCTGAACGATGAATAATTTTTTTTCTCGTTGATTGATGTGATCATCATCACCCTTTTCACTTCTGGGAACACGTGCTTGCTGGGGCTATGCAACGTTTACAATTGATGAATCTGTTCACGATGTAAGACTTTCAAAACTGTTGGGACTTTCAGAACTGTTGGGAGTTTCAGAACTGTTGGGAGTTTCAGAACTGTTGGGAGTTTCAGAACTGTTGGGAGTTTCAGAATTGTTGGGAGTTGCAGAATTGTTGGGAGTTTCAGAACTGTTGGCAGTTTCAGAACTGTTGGGAGTTTCAGAACTGTTGGGAGTTTCAGAACTGTTGGGACTTTCAGAATTGTTGGGAGTTTCAGAACTGTTGGGAGTTTCAGAATTGTTGGGAGTTTCAGAATTGTTTGGACTTTCAGAATTGTTGGGAGTTTCAGAACTGTTGGGAGTTTCAGAATTGTTGGGAGTTTCAGAACTGTTGGGACTTTCAGAATTGTTGGGAGTTTCAGAACTGTTGGGACTTTCAGAATTGTTGGGATTTTCAGAACTGTTGGGACTTTCAGAATTGTTGGGAGTTTCAGAACTGTTGGGACTTTCAGAATTGTTGGGAGTTTCAGAATTGTTGGGAGTTTCAGAATTGTTGGGACTTTCAGAACTGTTGGGAGTTTCGGCACTGTTAGTTTTTAGAGCATGCTGTACTTATGTAAAGTGTGGTTTGGTTATGATGCTGTATCATTGTAAGACACGCCTTAACGCAAGCCATTGCTAATGCCATATCATTGTAAGACACATCTTAACGCATACATTATCATTGTATGACACATCTGAACGCATACATTATCAGTGTAACACACACCTTAACGCATGCGATGCCTAAGGCAATGAGCCCGACCGTGAGCAGAACATTCCCGTAAATGGCCATCAGCGCCTCCCGACAGCCCACGCTGTGTAAGGTGGTCTCCATGTTGAAGTTGTACAGGTGGTGTTGTTTGGCGTCATGAACGTGGTGGTGTATACAGGGTCTCGGTGACCGCATGTCGCAACAGCTAAAGGGGGTGTCGTCACTGTAGTACTTGCCGTCACTTTGTAGATACCTGGGGGGGGGGGTTGGTGGCCGGGGCGGTGGGTGGAATGAATTAACTTTGATACTTTAAATAAAATAGATTAAACTACTATATTTATCTATGCAATCGAGTTGCTGGTTCCGTAGTTCTTATTGGGATGAGATGTACAGATGACTACCAAAATATAACATGCATATGGCAATGATAAATGTTTATATTTATGAAAATGAAATATATTATATGAAATATACCAATATGTTGTCCGTAAGTAGCTTTCAGAAAATTTAAAATAATACCATTTCTTTTTATAATAACAGACTCTGTTCTGGTTTACAACATCTGCAATTTTTTTAGAAGTTAAATTTCAGCCATACTTCTGATAGGCAAGTTTATATCCAGCAATGACACGTTTAGAAAAACAGCCATACTAAATGATAAGTTTTATATATATCCCTACTTAAATGACAAGTTTAGGAAAATGCTGGACCACGTGACCAGTTTACATACAGTCATAATCATGCGATACGTTTATATACAGAACAACTGATGTGATAAGTATATGCACCACACAAGAAATGACCTACTTTTTCAAAGAGTCCCCGGATGTCCTGACGCTCTCTGTCTCCAGCCACGAGTACCTGAACCAGTCTGTGTAAGCCTTGTCCCCACAACACCTGAAGCTGATCTGGACAGAGTCCATCTCCCGTTTCAGTTCACCTCCTTCAATGTACCTGGCAGGAAACATTAATTTAAAAAAAAACAAACAACTTACATGCAATCAATGTCAATGAACAGATCGAAATGTCCATGTTTGTCTTTGCTATGATGACAATAAAAGGGTGATTCTTGTTGGAGAAGGCTGCGGATGGCAATGTTTATCTTTGTTTCAGTTATCAATGACTTCAAGCTTTGAGGAGATTGCTCAGGGTGTCATGGAATAGATTGTTCAGGGTAGCATGAAACAGAGTGTTCATGGTGTAGGGAAATAGATTTGTTCAGGGTGTCATGAAGCAGATTCTTCATGGTGTCATGAAACAGATTGTTCAGTGTGTCATGAAATAAACTTTTCAGGGTAGCATGAAACAGATTGTTCATGGTGTAATGAAATAGACTGTTCAGGGTGTCATGAAGCAGATTCTTCATGGTGTCATGAAACAGATTGTTCAGTGTGTCATGAAGCAGATTGTTCAGTGTGTCATGAAGCAGATTCTTCATGGTGTCATGAAACAGATTGTTCAGGGTCTCACGGAACACTCTATCAAATCGTTTTGTTTTTTTTGTACAAAAAATCAACATATTTTTAGGACTTATATGAACCGCTTACTTGTCCATAGCCTTGTTCAGACCTTCACCAAACTCGTTGTCCAGGATGCTAATGTGTACGAAAGATGCGATGGAGGAGCCCATCTCAAACAGCACGAGAATGATTCCACCAATCAGAACAGGGTATACGCCAACCATGATCTTCTCTCTGTGGAGATTTATATTTCGATACTAGACCTTTTAATTCCGTGTTGCATATCAATTGTAGTCACTGATTTATAAAAAGTTACTATTAACATAAGCTAGTCAAAATCCTGATCATTTATTTAAAGTGCTCTCGACCCATCAAGTAACTGACCTTTTCTTGCCGTCACTTTTAGGTCGCTCTATGTCCGTCTCTTAATTTACCTGGTGCCATCCTTACTGAATCCCTAGAACATTCCCACTGGTCTCAGCATCTTTGCTTTCTGAAGCGGACGCTTTAATACGTGTTTCTTTTCTTTCTGGCCTTCATCTGACTGGCAAGATGGTCCGTGGTCTTCATCTGACTGGCAAGATGGTCCGTGGTCTTTATCTGATTGGCAAGGTGGTCCGTGATCTTCATCTGACTGGCAAGGTGGTCCGTGGTCTTCATCTGACTGGCAAGGTGGTCCGTGATCTTCATCTGACTGGCAAGGTGGTCCGTGGTCTTCATCTGACTGGTAAAGTGGTCCATGGTCTTCATTTGACTGACAAAGGGTCTTTTTCCATCTTCTGACTGACCAGCGGGTCTACCTCCTTCATAAGAATGTTTAAGGGGTCCATAGGATTAAAAAAAAGTTTAATGACACCCTGCTCTAGACCGAGTCTAAAAGTTTTTTATGGAACAATGATACTCTCCTGATGCAACAATGATACTCTCCTGATGCAACATTGGTACTCGTTTGATACAATATTGGCACTCTCAGGATGCAACAATGATACTCTACTGATGCAACAATGGTACTCCCCTGATGCAAAATGATACTCTCAGGAAGCAACATTGGTACTCGGTTGATACAATATTGACACTCTCCTTATCCATCGATGGTACCCTCCTGAAGCAACAATAGTACTCTCCTGATGCAACAATAAAACTCTACTGATGCAGCAGTGGCACCCTCCTGATGCACGTATCTTGTCCAAAAAAAAAATCAAACCAAACAATAAAACAAGTGACCACTAACCTAGATTCGACGTCCATCAGTTTGAAAGATATGAACACGGTGGAGACGTTCTGTATCAGGTTGAGCACGCCAACAAAAACAAAGATGCCGGGCAGGACGTTGCTGTTGTACGTCTCGATCAACGTCATCTGCGAGTCTATTTTGATCTTGACGTAAGCAGCGCAGACGAACAGCAGGAATGAGGAGAAGAAACAGACGAGGGCCAGGATCATGGTCACCAGCAGAAGGGTTTGTCTATTGGGCTCGGACAGAAGCATTTTTTTAAACAGGAAAACGCAGTATCAGGAATCAGTTATATCATCGGCGACCCCCCTCGAGGTCAAAAGCTTGACCTGTTTTGTTTTGTTTTTTTGTGTTTTTTTTTGCAGAGCGGAGCGACGCCGTCTTGTCAAGGGTTTAATTGTTCTGTTTGTTGTTTGGACGAAGCTAGGGTTAAACTGTTATCATTTTGCTAATACTTTAAAAATTCATAATCAAATCAATAATAAAAAAACAGGGCCCTGGTGAATGTGTTTCTAGATAGCTAGTAGTAGCGTCTAGTAGTAGCAGCCAGTAGTAGCAGCTAGTAGTAGCAGCTAGGTACAGCTTATAGATACATAAACTAGACAGTAGGTGGATGATGGTATGTAGTTTCTGTAATGTGTTTGTTGACATCTATCTCCTGGTGAGACTGCTATTCAGAGTGATGCGATTTCATTCTAAACTTGGGCTCAGGTATCTTTAGCTCTCATGTTTCAGTTAACGCCAGATCTAGACGTGGCTGGTCTACCTATTTTTCCAGCAACCTGTTTTTCTAGTCACCCCGGAAATAAATGAATTCAATGCGTTCAACATCCTGGAGTGTTTACGTGCATCAACCGTGCGCACCACTGGAGAACAGAGTTCACGTGATTTAAGCGAGTGTGTTTAAGGCTAAATATTGTGCAGTCACCTCACTTTACAAAGAAAAAGTAACTGTGAAACTTATAAGAAGTATTTTATTTACTGAGTTACTTCCATCTCTCCGATGCCGTTTGCAATTACGGAAATCGGTCTGCCTCGAAAGATGTGCCAATCATGGAGTCAAAAAAACAACAACAACAACAACAAGAAGAAGAAAACCCGATTTCAAACGGATGCTGTCTGTAGTAAGCTACATCATCTGCTCTGTTACTGTTCTAAAAACGTATTGTAGTATGAGGTTTTCAAGATGCGATGTAATTCATATTTTAACATTTAAATTGGGCATCAACGCTTCACCCTTCTTCGTGTCAAAAGCGTTAAGATGCCAGATACCAGCCAGTACCACATCGCCTGCGCCAACCGTATAGCAAGATGTATCTCAGTTACGAAACTCTTATATCCGTTGTAAGATGTACGTCAGTCGCATAAGGTTGGGGGGGGGGGGCAATGTTCAAGGTCATGTATGGTAAACATATTTTTATACCTTTTGATGTCCCCGGCGCTGAACTGTTTATTGTTGAATTAAAACTAGTAGCGTGTCTAGAGAATGTAAGACATGCAACACGATTCAAAACAAGGAATAAGATGTACGTCAGTCGCATAAGGTTGGGGGGGGGGGGCAATGTTCAAGGTCATGTATGGTAAACATATTTTTATACCTTATGATGTCCCCTGCGCTGAACTGTTTATTGTTGAATTAAAACTAGTAGCGTGTCTAGAGAATGTAAGACATGCAACACGATTCAAAACAAGGAACACGTGAAATGTTAGCTTTAAACGTTTATTGACCGGATATTTAAAAAAAAAAAATTATTATACAGTGATTACCTCTAAACATAGATATGCAGATCTATTGGGGAATTCAACAAATATAATGAAATAAGTTGTCTTAAGAGGGGTTATAGGGTAGCCCCCCTGCGTGAAAAAGGTGTGGGGAGAAATATTGAGATAGGATGATCTTGTAGGAGTGAATTAGGACACGTGACACGTGCGCGTTGGACGCTCCCCCCCCCCCCAAATGAAGCTACCCCAAAGGAATTCATGTGTGCCAACGGGTTCCTGGTGGAACGGTGGGGTGTCAACCGACGTGTAGGGTGGGCTGGGGTGGGTGTGTGTGTTTGTGTGTGTGTGTAAATGCGTGTGAGCGTGTGTGTTTGTGTGTGAGTGTGTGTGTGTCTCGGTTCCTCAGCATCTTTCACTTGTGCAAGGTATGTTTAAAAAAAAAAGTTTTCTTAATTATGGTTGGTGTCAGAAAATAAGCAGATAGTCAGTCTAGCCGATGGTCAAAGTTTCTATTTGCAAACCAACAACGTTAAGCGAATAAATACGATTTTTTTTTTAAAATAAGGACTGCGAGATTTAACGTTACAGAATTGTTAGGCTAAATTTCTGAAGAGTTCATATCTGACACAAATAAGACACCTTTTATGCCATTCCCATATTGAGTTTTATCATATTTTTTTTTGAAAAATTAGTTTATTCACTCATCTAAAGATTCCTTAAAATATATACTGTTAAAATGTTAAATTTATTCAGCATTGTCTGCTGACTTGATTAAATAAATTGACATGTCTGCGTCCACAGTTCTTGACTCTGCAGATTTGACACTTGAATTAATTTTTAACGTGCGCCAGCGGTAACGCGCCAGGATCCCATAAGCGATGACAGCGGCCAGAAGGATGCACGAAATGCCAACAAAGGGACCAATGATGTAAGCACTGATGCCCTCTGCTACTGAATCTTGGTCTGGAATCAGAAACAAAGGATTAGTTAGTTCAGTGGCCGGCAAACTCATTAGTCAAAAGAGCCAAAAATCAGCAGCAGGACGATTTTAAAAAATGTTAAGAGCCAAATTTCTTTTCAAGAACCTGCCAAGAACCATGTTTTTCGGAGCCTAAACAGATTAGTGGACGACTGGCCGAGCTGCACTCAGGTCGCTAAAGAGCCGCTTGCGGCTCCTGAGCCGCGATTTGCCAACCACTGGGTTAATGTATAGTAATGTAGCTCTATGGAGCACGACCATGTAGTTAAAAAATATAGATATGTATTTTCAGGATGAGGAGATTGGTTTGGCTTTCATATTATTTTTTTTCGATGACATGGTGTGGGTATGTGAACATGGACTGGATGGAAATACAGTCCAGTGAGATAATATTCATCTTTAAAGTATACATTAATTTCAATTTGACCTTCTCAATGTATGTTAATAGAGTTTAAAACAACAAATATGAAAGAATCAACAAACGTAATAGGAAGAAGAAACATGATGTTTGAACCGACCACAATTGAAAAATGTAGGGGGCCACCACGGGCAAGCTACTCTGTTTTTTACAAAAATATGGATATACCCCATATACATACGTCTGGGGAAATATAACTTCTAAATTTTTAAAATTAATATCTGTATGTTTTTATATATATGTATATATTATATTCTAAAAAGGCACTAGCACAGTTCTTACTTGTTAAATTACTTAAAATGTTAACAAATGTTTATAGTTCCGAACACGTGCTTACTTTTAAAGTTACTGCAGTTCAGGCCATCATAGCCTTGTTGACATCCTGATAAGCACCTGCCGGTCACGTGATGACAAGTCGACATGTCAGTAGTTTTGGGCTTGGCACAAAACTTGCTACAGTTGTGAGCACAATCCTGGCCATGGATTCCGTCAGTACATTCTAGACATTAACATGTTTTATTGTAAATGATGAAGTCAATAATTTATGATTTAAGTTTGGGAGATTAAATATGAGACTGCATTAAAACTTGAACTATTTGGTATCATTTTAATGACTTTGTCTCTGTTGTAGTGGTACTGGCGTACATGAGGGTATTAATTCATTAGAGTATTACATTTACGTTAATTTGTTTTCCAACCATCTCTGTGGTGCTACAGCCCATGTAGGGCTTTGGTCTGCCTCACCACATCCTTCAATTCAGAACATCCACCCCTGTGGTGCTACAGCCCATGCAGGGCTTTGGTCTGCCTCACCACATCCTTCAATTCAGACCATCCCTCCTTGTGGTGCTACAGCCCATGCAGGGCTTTGGTCTGCATCACCACATCCTTCAATTCAGAACATCCACCCTTGTGGTGCTACAGCCCATGCAGGGCTTTGGTCTGCCTCACCACATCCTTCAATTCAGACCATCCACCCCTGTGGTGCTACAGCCCATGCAGGGCTTTGGTCTGCCTCACCACATCCTTCAATTCAGGCCATCCCTCCTTGTGGTGCTACAGCCCATGCAGGGCTTTGGTCTGCCTCACCACATCCTTCAATTCAGACCATCCACCCCTGTCGTGCTATAGCCCATGCAGGGCTTTGGTCTGCCTCACCACATCCTTCAATTCAGGTTATCCACCTCTGTGGTGCTACAGCCCATGCAGGGCTTTGGTCTGCCTCACCACATCCTTCAATTCAGACCATCCCTCCTTGTGGTGCTACAGCCCATGCAGGGCTTTGGTCTGCCTCACCACATCCTTCAATTCAGACCATCCACCCTGTGGTGCTACAGCCCATGCAGGGCTTTGGTCTGCATCACCACATCCTTCAATTCAGACCATCCCTCCTTGTGGTGCTACAGCCCATGCAGGGCATTGGTCTGCATCACCACATCCTTCAATTAAGGCCATCCACCCCTGTGGTGTGGTAAGTATTTTTTCAGTCCACGAATAATATATTTAAATTATCATCAGAATTAGCGACACAAAGACGGATATAAAAGCAAAGTCTAAGTAAACTATCGATAGGCTACTTAATTCAAAATTTGATGGACTAAGTTGTGATTGGCGGTCTGTCCTCTGTGGGCAGATAAAGTCCACACCACACACACACTCACGCAGGAGCCTTGTTGGTTTGGCCCCTCTCTCTGGTCGGTGGTCACTGCGACGTAACAGGCCATCGGTCACTCACAGTGCGACAGGTGTAGACTCTCTTTAACCGTGGGACACACACACACAGCCCTCTCGCTGGTCACTGGTCACTGACGTTGGGCACATGCACACAGCCCTCTCGCTGGTCACTGGTCACTGACGGCGGGCACACACACACACACAGCCCTCTCACTGGTCACTGCGCCGTCTCTGCTTATCTAACCTACACTTGGTTCTTTTTTTGATGAGTCTGACCCTAAATGGCCCACTCAACTAACTGACTCAACTGCCCTGATTAGTCTATACTCTACGGTATACTATAGCGACTGTACTAAGTTCTACTGTACTGAACTGTAATCAACTCAACTGTACTGACTTTAAATGAGCTCAGCATACTGAGAAAAAGTCAAATGGACTAATTGTACTAACTCCAGCTAACTTAAACTGTACTGGTACTATGGTACTAATTCAAATTGTACCGGTACTAACTCAAACTATCTGTTTCTAACTCAACTGTTACTTACTGGCTAGAGAATAACGAATACAAAGCATATGACATAGCTAAGAATAAAAATCAGATCACATTATTAATAATTAATCATAAGCTAACAATAACTATAATCCTAACATTTCTTAATAAAACTAAAACATATGAAGACTAACAATACGAACCTAGTTATTTTTGGGTCAACAAACTTTATCACAATACAATAACTAGCCAGGCTCTGCTGACTGACAAAATTCAGGTGAAAGACGGTGATAAATGATGAGGGGCCTTTAATGTATACTCCAAGTTTGGCGTCCTGTCCCGCATTCAAGCGTCGCGTCTGACCAGATGCTCATTGTTTAAGCTGGGTCATGGTCAAGGTGACCAGGTTAATTTCCAGTGTTCATTGAGTCTTTCTTGTTAGTGCAAGGCCCAGCCTAATTGTGCAATATCACGGGGGTTAGCGATGGAGCGAGTGTGAGCCATCGGGTCTCACAAATCATGGTGCTACAGCCCATGCAGGACTTTGGCCTGTATCATCACATCCTTCCACTCAGACCATTCATCCCTGTGGCTCACAGTCCATGTAGGGCTTTGGCCTGCCTCACCACATCCTTCCGCTCAGACCATCCAACCCTGTGGCGCTACATTCCACGTAGGGCTTTGGCCTGCCTCACCACAAACTTCCATCCATCCCTGTGGTGCTACAGCCCATGAACAGCGTTGGCCTGTCTCACCACATCCTTCCACTCAGACCTAACTGATGCTTTTCTTTTCCATGTGTTTGCTAGGTCTTCTGCTGTTTTTTGTTAGGTTCAAAGTTTAACTAGCAATGATTGAATGATTGAATGGTTGAGTTCATCACCAAACACCGGGCAATGCATGTTTACAAGACACTGGAATAATGCAAAATGTACTGAAACAAACGATTTAAAGATGTAAGGGAGACATATAAAACTAACTGACCATACTGACAGCCAGGACCTGACCACCCGTCCTGACAGGTGTCCCCGTCCAAGCATTCACCACGAGAGTCGCAGTCGTACAGTCGGCAGTGGCATCGGTGTTTGAAAACACGTGTCTCTTCCTTAACTTCTCCATCTGTAACAGAACGATGTCAGCATTGAAAGAATGCATCATGGTTCGCTTTAGAAAGTTGTCGCAAAACAACAACAACATGGTTAGAGGGGGGAAAAAAATGATGAAATAACTTTGATTTGTAATAATTTAACGATAAAAGTTTGTAGACTCTGAATGATTAGAATTATAATGATAAACTTAACAATAAACGTGTCTGAAAAGAAAATCATCAGCTCTGTGTGTGAGTTTGTGTGTGTGTATGCGTGAGCGCGCGCGTGCGTGTGTTTGTGCGTTTGTGTGTGTGTGTGCGTGTGTGTTTGTGTGTGTGTTTGTGTGTGTGTTTAGACATAAAAATTCAATAGCGCAGACTTGGAGACATTATGCTTGGTGCTTGGTCCGCAGCTCTATTGAACGCACATTCAGATGGGGACAAAATGTCTTCAATAATCGAAATTATAACTTTATAACTTTTTCAATAATCTATAGTTGTCATTTGCTTTCCACTTTTGTAGATTTGAAAACATCGATGCTTTGTAGGAAACGCTGTCATGGTGTCACCCTGTCACGTTGTCATGCATCTCACTGTCACGCTGTCATTGCATCGCACTGTCACGGTGTGACCCTGTCACGTTGTCATGTATCTAACTGTGACGCTGTCATTTGTCGCCCTGGCACGTTGTCAGGTATCTAACTGTCACACTGTCATTGTTTCGCCCTGTCACGTCGTCATGTATCTCACTGTCACGCTGTCATTGTGTCGCCCTGTCACGTTGTCATGTATCTAACTGTCAGGCTGTCATTGTGTCGCCCTGGTACGTTGTCATGTATCTAACTGTAACGCTGTCATTGTGTCACCCTGTCACGTTGTCATGTATCTGTCATTCTGTCATTATGTCGCCCTGTCATGGTGTCACCCTGTCACGTTGACGTGTATCTAACTGTCATGCTGTCATTGTGTCGCCCGGTCACGGTGTCACCCTATCACGTTGTCGTGAATCTAACTGTCACGCTGTCATTGTGGTGCCCTGTCACGATGTCACTCTGTCACGTTGTCATGTATCTCATTGTCACGCTGTCATTGTGTCGCCCTGTTACGGTGTCACGCTGTCACGGTGTCACACTGTCAAGGTATTACGCTCTGTCACGGTGTCGCGGTAAAGTTTGCATTCTTTTCCTCCTGTCTGGAACATTCCGTTAAATTCAATAGAGACGCGCTGTAGCAACACAAATATTTTGAGTTGGTTTATAATTATACATCTCTACTTACCGCCACTAAATTCCTCGAGGAGACTTCCAGGCGCAAGCAAGCTTAACGCAAACACAAAGACAAATTCCTTGGTCATGGTCAAGTGCCCAAAATGCCTTTGAAGGTTCGTTCGTTTGTTTGTTTTAAGTGCCAAACACGGTTTAAGTTTTGAAGCTTCTCGTTGAAATTTAAAATGATCTTAATTTGAGATCTTTTACTATGAAGTCACGTTCAGAGATCTTCACTTGGACAACCGCCATCAGTTGTGCAAAAGCTGTGTGACTGCGTCTGCCTGTGTGTCCCTACCTGCCTGTGTGTCCTTATCTGCCTGTGTGTCTCTATCTGCCCGTCATATACAGCTCTAGTCTACACGGCTAATCACTACAGAATCCACATGAGTGAGGAAATTTTGTTGATCCCGTTTAATGAAAGAGAATAGATGGGTTTGCACTCCACAGTTCTAACAAAAACTAAACTAACACCATAAAAGCTCTCCTCCAGACGTCTACACCCATGTTGGCGATAAGCCAAGCAACTCATCGCAGTTCAGCCCACGGAAAAACAATTAAAAAACACGCGGAAGTGGTATATTACAACTACTCGTGGTAATTAAAGTGGATTTTTCAAAAAAACATGGCATTTTACCATGTGGCGGTTGTTGTAACACAGGCTTTGAATTTTGAATTATTTAATTATTATTATTATTATTTATTTTTTTTTGCGATTCTCTCTTTAGAATAGGAACAAGGCTTCGATTATAATCATTTTTATTTTTTGGGGTGGTTGAACATTTCAATTCGACACATTTACATTTTGGAGATTAGGTGAACGATTATTCTGCAAAATAGTCAAAATATCTCTAACACTAGATGATATTGCATTACTGGCGAACTTTGGGAAATGATATAGTTTTCTCCATTTTTTTTTAATGTAGGAGATTTTGTTGAATGTTACAGAGCCTACATTTCAGTTTGAGTGAAACAATTCTAGTGACGCAACTGACTCTGGTTCCAGTGTGACTCTCAGACCATTTCCTCCGGGAAGAAGAGGGGGGGGGGACATTTCAGGTGTTCATGGCGGGGGGGGGGGGGGGGG